AACCGCCTTGTTGCTTGCCGAAAGAAAAGAAAGATAAGAAAAGAAAGGGGCTGGCGCTGAGCCAAACTCATCCCACTTGACACGCCCCTTCGTCCGCAGCGAAGGGGACTACTCATCAAGTATCACTGGTGTTTGTCATATCATCTGGTTTCCATATTTTCATCTCCTGATCAACAGGTGCTTCAAAATAAGTTTAACAAAATAATAGAACTTACCCTCTTACCACTCTCCTCTGGAATGGAAAAAATGGATACATGCCATTAAATCTGACAAAATTGTTTTCAGAGAAGAAGACGTCAGCGCTCGAAGAGACCAAACGTTCCCACAGGTACGACACATCCGTCTTTTCGAGTTTTTGCGGAAAATACTAGAGCTTCAATCAATACTGATGCCACTGATGAAAACGCATTCCGCGATCACGGGCGGGCGGAGACATGAGTAGTGTGGCTCATAAACATTTTCCCTTTTTAATAATGTGCCTTTCATCCTGAGATGTTACCCAGGAGGGGCGCGAGGGTTGTGGATCTCCGCCCACTCCATTATCGTGGAGCATGTCCTAAAGGTGTGGAAACTCACAGCCCACGACACGAAATTTCATACAATGTACAGCTAGAACTGGAATCACAAACAATGCTAGAGAAAAGGAGTTTTATCTATTTTGCAGAATTCGCTAGGTTTTGACTACACTAGTGACGAGGGGGGGGGTGGGGACTCCCTGAAGTTTTCACACTCCTTTGTTGTGCTCAAGTATCCCTGATCGGCTGTATTTAAAAGGAGGCTTAAGTCCAGAACTATCATTTGCCAGAAACGTTAGCAAGTGATCTCCTCTTGTAAATGCTGTACTGATGAATTTCTTTGCAGCCAGCGCCTGTAGGAGCTGGAGTTAGACCTCAATGGCCACCTGCTGAAGCAGCTCAGGTCCAACCACCTGCGGTAATTTCTTAAACTAATCTCAGGGTATCAAGGTGTGTCAGTGGTAGAGATTGCCAATGCGAGATTTTCAGGGACGAAGTGAAGCTGAAAGACCAGAGGGTGGTGCTCGTCCAGAATGGCAGCCTGCCGAAGCCGATCGAGACAGAGTGCAGCCAGTCAGCCCACATGTCCCCAGTCATCGTTACCCCAGTGGAGCGGGTCAAGAGGTACCAGTGCGTCGCCCGGAGAGCGCTGAAACGACACCTGAGCCACATACGACGTAAGTCTACTTGGGCATCATAGACTGCCATACCCTTGAATTTCATGTTTTTATAGAAACCAGGTCCGCTTCCGTTATGTTAAGCCGGCCGATGTTGTTAGTGATGGATACGGTAGACTGTATGAAGGACGTCCAGAGGCCAGGTGAGCAATGTTGTCCTGTTTACTGTAAATTGGTGGTCTTGAGGAAGGCACCTTTTCTTCTTCACCACCGTATGCAGATGAGAGACAGTATTCAGCTGATTTTTCTACGAAATTGGCATAATTTCACTCTTCAGACCTCACAGGCCTGTTGGAGAGGGAATGGCCGAACACGGCCACCCTAGACCTCATCACGAACATCCACGCCCACATCATCCTCCTCATCATGTACCCCGAGAACAATGGGAAGCGGATCGTTCACGTCAAATGGAGTGAGTAGCATTATTGCCTTCTCTTCTTTTCCCCACACTGTTTACGGGGATTTTTCTCAAACATTTTCCACCCATTGGTATTCACTTTTTGAGGGTAACCTCTAATACTGAGTATATCACAATGTTGTTGGCATTTTGTTTTTTCTTTCTTTCCCCCTTGTATATAATCGAGGACCCTCCTCAAAGGAGAAAGATTTAGTCTGTCTCGGCAGGAGCCAGACTGCAATTTTGTGTCAGCACATAGCAATTTTCGAGCTTGAACTGAGCGCCGGCAAGGGATTATTAAAGCCCAACCATTGTGAAAGCTCGAAGTACGAGCGTCGGCTGGTTCCTCTCGGAGCTCCAGCCAACATTCCCTTCCTGCTTGCACTACAGTATCGCTGACGCCGGTAATTGCGCGGCTGGCCTTCCTTAGGCACATGTTTTTCCTGCAAATCCCTCGAATCCTTCAGTGAGAGGCCATCATGCAAACCTCCAATGCGAAATCCTCCAATCCAATATCACAATGCGTAGCACAGAGAACCACTGGGGCGCGTCAGGAAGTAAGGAATGAGCCCGCGCACGGCTCCGTTTTCTACCAATAATTGCTTGCATGGGCTAGGCAACTACAGGAAGGAAATTCAGCTCGAATGAGCTCATTCCAGGTCTCCTGACACGCCAGGAAGGTCATTTCATTACAGGGCTGCGGTCATTATCTTGACGATATCGCTACTCTGAAGGGAACCCCTCAAATCCAGACAATCCAAACTTTAAATCACCTGTTTAAAACATTTGTTGCCTGATTTAGCCCTCGAGCTCAAGAATATCAACGACCCGAAGCAACAGCGGAGCAGAGAAGGGCTCAATATGAACGTCAGAATGCATTCGATCGCTCAAGCCAAGACCTACCTTGAAACGCCACCACCAGGAAGAGTGAGCATTTCTGTTGGGCACTTTGTATAGTATCTTGAAAAGCGTTGCTCATTCTCGTGAAGGGACAAAAATACTAGAGCAGAGCCAAATTGTTGGCGTGTCCCTTTGAAAGCTTGTGGCCATGTTTGGGCCCACAGAGTATTTGCTGGTCCTCGCACCATTTCTCCTCAGATAGCTCCTGAATTACGAAATACTGAGATTGAGTGACGATGAAATAGGTGTGCTACCATATTAATGACTGTAAAGCTCATTAGTTAGACGGAAAGAAAATGCCATAGTATATCAGGCTTACGTCGTTTGTATTGCTAGGCTTATTTTTCGGTCTTAAAAAGTACTAGCGGTACTAGCGGTATTGGACCTGCTACTGTGCCTTCTCGTCAGTGAGCTCCCCTTCACTGTACCAGAAAGGATGGGCGTGCTCATGAAGAAGGCACCTTCGTAGGTCCTACACAGCCCTTACCACTGAAGTGGAGTTCGCGTTCAAAAAACTGAAGTGACAAATAGACGACACTCTTGGCTTAGAGGCATTGGGTACGATTGCTGGAGGCGGGCGTTGGTTGCCAGCGCCATAGGTGGAAGGACTGCAAAAGAGCGTTTGGCCACTCCCCACCCAGCCCTTCCACCAATGACGATAGCGACAATCGCCCGCGCGAGTCGTCGTTCCCTCTCTCTTCGAATCTGCGCTGAATGTTCTCGTTGGGTCATGTTTTGCAAGGTTCCATTTTCCAGAGATTATGAGAGCAGGAGAAGAGCTCATCATGAAAAGTACTTAAAAGAACTGGAAGAGAGAAGGGTGAGGTTCTTCTTCTAATACAACCGGGTTCAACACTCCTAGAGATGATATTGCAGATGGAATCGGCTCGTCGTCGAGCAGAAGAAGAGAGGAGACGAGCGGAACACAGCAGAATCGAGGAGGATAGGAGACGAGCTGAGTTACTAGCTGAACAAGGTTTCTTGTATTTATAAGTCATAGACTGTCTAGAAGGTGGAACGGTGGCAAGTGGTACACTTACCAGGGGCACGATGCGGGGATCAAACCTAGGATTGGCTTCGCCCAGGTCAACCAAGCTTTCTACCCCAGGGGGACGGTACATTGTTACCAG